TGGCAAGCCATTGTACTGTTTTGCCTTGAATGTCACCAAGGAACATAATTTCAACAGAAATAGGGAAAGAAGGTGACCACAGCGCCGTAAAATACATTAAGGGAATGAATGAATGGATGAAGCTATCAATGACAGTCACAGGCGGTCCTAGTGGACATCCGCAATTTTCCCGTGCAACTGAGAATTCTAACAGAACACGGCTCCACAACATTACAGAGCCGCAACTACTTTACAAAACATTCTGATGACAAACTAGATCGATACCTTCATGCAGTCTTCTGCACAAACAAATTTGGCCGTCTATACCTGAAATCGCTGTAAACATGAACGGGCGACATGACACACGAGCTCTACTTAATGTGAGGAGCAGTAACTGATGCCGTCATATCAATAATGGAACGTTAGTTAGTCGACAACTAAAAGACCCAATGGAATTGGGAAGTGATTTGATGCCATGTCTATTTTCGTTGGTTGGCTTCCCTCTTTGTCAGTTACCGGGAGACTTAATAAAAGAAAAAGTGCTTTGCTTACCTCTTTGTAGGGAAAACCACCATCTGATCTGGTGTTCTTTAGACCGCTCGGCCACAGAGAGCGTCACAGCTTGGCAAACTTCAACTACCATTTTGAAGAATACGCGTTCTTTTGTTCGGATTTTCTTGAAAGCTTGTGTCTGCTCATTTCTTTACGTATCTGGAACTTAAACAAAGGTTTTCTAAGGAATCAGTGGATTTTGCCAGACATTAACCACAATTTGAGCTGTAGGAAATGATCTCGAATAAAAAAATCTATTGATTGTCATTTCTTTTATTTCCCCAAGTACTTTCAATCTCATCCAAAATCATCTTCAGAGGTAAATTCTTAAGACAAAAAATTAATGTAATTGATCGCTGTGATTTTTTTGTAAATGCGCATAAAACACGCTCTGTTGCAATTATTAACGCGCTCCGTTATTTAATTTAAAAACCAACTGTTTAGAATATGCATGTAAAGGACGTAACATAATTTATATTTTTTATAATTAAAGTTTTCAAATAATTAACCTGCAATATATATATATATATATATATATATATATATATATATATATATATATATATGAAGAAATATAGTTTTATGGTCTTCTATATTTATGGGATAAAGTGCTCAATATCAGAGATAGAGCGTATGTAAGTATAAAAATAAAAAGTGAACATTGACGTCAACACTAAAGGCGACAGGCTGTTTCGGGCTGGACGCAATCGTTAGGCGGCTTGACGATTGCGTCCAGCATAAAACAGCCTGTCGCCTATGAGTGTTGACTTCCATGTTCACACACACACACACACACACACACACACACACACACACACACACACATACAATAAATATATATATATACATGAGAGTAAGTGAAAAATTATCCGCACTTTCGCCATAACATATCTGTGTTATGAGTGTGGATAATTTTCTACTATCCCTTATATATATATATATATATATATATATATATATATAGTGATCGTCACATATTATTCAGATGAGAGACCCAACCTCACAGCTCATCTGCCTTGTGATGGCTTCCGTCTCGTTCCGGCCTTCATGGCCCCTAAGATGACTCTTGAGACCAGCATTAATTTCCATACTTATGTATATATGACAGATAAAATTTGCATCCTTGACTGGGCTGATTGGATCTGCAAGCCCTACAACTCTCCTGTGTACCACCATGAACCAGATGAACTGCAAAAAATACAGGTATTGTCGAGAGGGCGATGAGGCAAGTTGGCATAGTTGGCTTGCTTCTGGTTGTTATGATGATCTTTCAGATAGTTTACTTAATCTGTCCCCGACAACAGCATGCTCGCACACACATGACATATCCAAGACTGTGAATTAGTTAGCAAATTAGAGTGAGTGCATCTTCACGCTTGATCTGAACATGCCTGAGACATTCATACTCAGTGGCGTTGGTAAAGAAGAAAAAGACCATTCAGGCCTTCAGTAATGGTGCCAACATTCATCCTCTGGCTTCAATCTTTAAAGTCCATTCAGGAACCATCAAGAGAATGTTTTTAAAAAAGAAGGAACAGTAGAGAGGAAAACTGGATCAGGATGTCACAAATGGAAGAGGGATCATCATTTCAACTAAGAGCTAAAGAAATCAATTAGAAAAGATCAACTCAATCCATAAGACTTTTGGTATGTGGGAGAGGAGTTTCAATTATGACAGTCCAAAGAGAAGTAAAAAAAAAAAAGACTTTAAAATGAAATCGTACGTGAGACCTGTGAGGCACCTTGTTACTCCAGGATAGAAAGTTAGAAAGTTAGAGAGGGCAAAGATCATCTTAAATAAACTGGAAAATGATCTTGGAATAATATATATTGACATTATGTGAATAAGTTTCCAATCCTTAGCTATGATTAATTAATGATGAACATATCATTTTCGTTTATGATCGATTTCATCACGATTCTTCTATTAAGATTGGAGAGTAATTATACATTCTTATTTCTCAAAGAAGAGTCCAATAGTGTTATAAAAGCCTTGAAGAATTCCAGTAAGATATCTTTAATCTAATTTTCTAACATACAATGGTTCAAAGCTTAATCTAACAATTGGACAATTTTACTGTTACACTCGCTATATATATATTAACAGGTGTAATATTGGAGGAATCGAGGTTTTATCATACAGTCACGGTGGACTGATCATGTCTTGACAATATCTGATGACAGGATACCTAAGATCCTAATGTAGAGCTAATTAAATCAGGGCTACAGGAATGTAGGACGCCCATGGCTAAGATACAATGACAAGCTGAAAAGCAACTTGTTATCTGTCAATATACCACAAAACAACCTTGAGCGCTTAGTTTTGGAGCGGGTAGAATGGAGATCAACGTGTTTTAGTGGACTCAGCAATTTTCAATCTGTTTGTCGAAATCATCTTCGAGAAGCGAGAGCAAGATCTAAAAGGTCAGCCAATCTAACAGGGATCTCATCTCACAATCCTCACACTTGCTCCATATGTGGACTCCTTTGTAAATCACTAGCGGGTCTTAAATGCCACTTAAGATTATCGCACAAACTTTCATAACTGAATCAATAAGCTGTCAGATCCTCATACGACGAAACCATTACGGGATAGATATCCATTATATATATATATATATATATATATATATGAGACTAAATATCGACGTATGCTTCTAGTATAAAAAGTGGAGCCCAAGATATTTTTTGTATAATTTTGATGTCGATTGAGATTGACATGTGGGTGGTGCAGAGTAAAGTTTTTAGAAATGATAATGTTTTCGTCTGCTTTTGGAGTCTAGGGTTAACAAGAACTGACGAAGGCTACAGGAGTTGCCGAAAATTTTGTAATATATATATATATTACACACACACACACACACACACACACACACACACACACACACACACACGCGCGCGCGCGAAATATATCTTGGAATGTGCTATGTTTTTGAGGAAACAATGATAAAAATATGCACAGTATATCTTGATTACCACTATATATATATATATATATATATATATATATATATATATATATATATTTAAATAGGATCATTCATAACTATTTTTGCTCCTCACCTGTCGAGATGTAAAAATGTTGTCAGAAATAATTACTGCTCTACTCCTGGTAGTGACATGACATCACTATATATATATATATATATATATATATATATATATATATATATATATATATATAGAACATAGAAGTCAACACTTAGAGGCGACAGTCTGTTTCATGTTAAATGCAATCGTCTGGCCACTTATATATAATTGCTTATATAATTGTATACACACATACACACATGCACACACACACACATATATATATATATATATATATATATATATATATATATATATGTGTGTGTGTGTGTGTGTGTGTGTGTGTGTGTGTGTGTGTGTGTGTAAAAATATATAAAAAATAGGAAAGAACTCGTTAGGGAAATAATCCAAACTTCTTTAGTATTTTTGTTATTATTTAAAAAAAAAACAGTGCTCGATAAAAAAGTAGAGTCTAAATATAATTATTTGTTTAAAAATATGATTCCATCGCTACATAAGAGTTCTCATGTTTCAAAACTGGAGCCGAAAAACTTCAATATAATTATTTGAATTAAATTTAATTCAAATAATACATAAGAGTTCTCATGTTTCAAAACAAGAGCCGAAATCTTCATTATAATTATTTGAATTAAATTTAATTCAAATAATTATATTGAAGTTTTCGGCTCCAGTTTTGAAACATGAGAACTCTTATGTAGCGATGGAATCATATTTTTAAATAAATAATTATATATATATATATATATATATATATATATATATATATATATATTATTGTTAAAATTTGCAATGTTGATAGGGGAAAGTATGGTCAATAACGAGAAAAGAGTCCATGGTGACTGGCATTGTCACTTCTTAAGCGATCATCAGGCCATGTGGTGTGATAATCGAATTAGGCGTGACTCACAGTGACAAACCCGTTCTAAAATCGATTTGATGCTTTTGTTATTTGGTTAGTTTATAGGAAGTGAGTCAGGCCAAGAAAGTTTAAACACAACTTGTATCTATCTAAATTTCTTCACATCTATCTATCTATCTATCTATCTATCTATCTATCTATCTATCTATCTATCTATCTAAGCCTCTTTTTCAGTATTATTCCTGTGTTATTGAATGTCGTTTCTTGCTTGTTATTTCTATTCCGATTCTAATTGACAGAGTTTTACAAAAGTACAATCTAGTAAACTTTGACACTTGTGGCCGGTTTCTCTAGCAAACAATCTCGAATAAGATCCAAGTGTCTGAAACATCAAATGACAAAAACAAGGAATCAGAGCTGCGCCTTGCACATGAATCAGCGTTGTTTTGAGCCAAAGTGAGTGTTTACTTGGATTTGTACGGATTCGTTTTATTCATTCCTTTTGAATGTAGGGTTCGCTATTAAGCATTAAAGCAAGACAAGTGTTTTAAAATATTGTTTAAAGAATAGCGTCGTAACGCATAAATAAGAAAAAAAAAAGGTCAAATTTTCTAGGTACTGAGATATAACATCATACACACAGACACGCTTGCGAGCATATACAGGCTGTATCATTACATAGCTGGACACTCAAGGATACCCCGTCTTCTAGGTCGGCTAGCCAATCCCTATTGCAGACGTTTGCTCAGGCGCATTTGTGTTTATTCAACACCCACAGATCCCACCTGTGGTTTATACTGCGACGATGCTGAACAGACACTAGTTACAGTTTCCGAGAAAGATCTAGCGTGATCCAGCACGCCCAAGCCCTCGGCCACGATGACTGGTGAGTTCGTGCTAGCACAGCGATCGACGCCACGCAAGGGTTCTATCTACCCAATTTCCCTCACAAGGCTTGGGTCAACTCGTGGTATTAGTTTTCAGGCGCTTTCCTTCCTGACAAATCGACTATGGTGAGATTCGAACCCGTGTCTAATGGTCAGAATGCTAACGTTCAATATCAATATATATATATATATATATATATATATATATATATATATATATATATATATATATATATATGTATAAAGAATGAACAGTAACATATATAATCCGGTATTCTTATAGATATTTTTATTTTTACAAAATAGTGCTCAATGTAAATTTACAGAGCATTAATATTATGAATTAATTGATTTAAAATATGTTTTTTTTCGCTACACAGTTCTAACCATGTTTCAAAAAATGGTTTTGAAACATGGTTAGAACTGTGTAGCAAAAAATATTTTAAATCAATTAATTTATAATATATATATATATATATATATATATATATATATATATATATATATATATATCCAATGGCATATTGACATGTTTCGTCGATCAAACAGCGTCACCAGAAAATCGAATTTTATTTCCTCTAAGTAATAATAGCAAAGATTTAGTTAAAATAAGGCTAATATTCTCCTTACGCAGAATACTATCTATCTATCTATCTATCTATATCTATCTATCTATATATATATATATATATATATATATATATATATATATATATATATATATATATATCTTCTATTTTGCCTGGTTTCGTCAATCAAAGTGCCTACGCATTATGTTAGGCTTATTTTAACAATCTTTTCTTTTATTAGGAGAAATAAAATTCGATTTTCTAATGATACTATTTGATCGGTGAAACATACCAATATGTCATTGGATGAAATTTCGTGAGATTCTCATCCAAATTTAAATAATATATATACATATCAATGGTGTATCAAAAATACCTTTTACAAACTTTGGGGACAGGTCCCTCACACCAAAACAAGGACAAATATCCATATAAACATATGTCCGCAAATCCTTTGTTTTTGAGTTATTAAGTTTAAGGAAAGTCTACGGTAGATGTCGTCGTTTTGCTATATGGACTTGGTTACATTTGTCAGTCGTGTACATTTGTGGCTAGTCTCTCTTCAAATTTTAACGTGTGTAGTAGTGAGTTAACTGAGAACTGTTCCGTCTAACCATGGCAGGATATTCATATCGTGAGGAGGCAGATATGAATTTTACATGCGGCCGCGCGAGTAGTAATAGACGCGAGGCGGCACGGCTGTTTCAGATTGGTTTCCAAACCGAAGGCAGCCGAGTTATCCAACCTTTGCTGCTGTTTATCATTGCGTTGCTGAGTCAGGATCCGTGGCCCCACAAATTATGGATCGAAGAAGACCGAGATCCGCTTATACGCCTGGACACGAAGAACACATGTCTATTTGGCCTTTTGGACATATGTTTATATGGACATTATATCCTTTCTTTGGGTGTCAGGAACCCACCCCAAAGTTTGTAAAAGTATTTCTGATACGCTCTCTCTCTCTCTCTCTCTCTCTATATATATATATATATATATATATAGCATATATATATAGCATATATATATATATATATATATATAGAGAGAGAGAGAAAGAGAGAGAAGAGTATATGAGTAGAGGAAAACAGTGAAAGTGGGGCAGTGAGATAGACAGATAGATAGATAGATAGATAGATAGATAGATAGATAGATAAATATGAATTGACTCTATAGATCTGAAAATGATATATATATATATATATATATATATATATATATATATATATATATATATATATATATATATATATATATATAATACATATACTAAAACGAAGAAAAACAGATAGATAATACGGGAGCGAAAGAGAAAGAGAGTGAGCGAGATATATATATATATAGAGAGAGAGCGGGTAGAAAGAAAACGAGAGTGAGAGAAAGGGGGAAAGTAAGAAAATACAATATACTAAGAAACAGATAGATAAATAGATAATACAAAAGAGAGAGAGAGAGAGAGAGAGAGAGAGAGAGAGAGAGGAAGAAAAGAGAGCTCGAAATAAAAGAGAGAGTGAGAGATGGAAAGAAAGAAAGAACACAATACAACATACTAAGAAACAGATAGATAGATAGATAGATAATACGAGAGAGGGAGTGAGAGAGATAGGAATGAGTGTGAGAGAAGGAGAGAAACGAACAAAATACAATATATTAAGAAGCAGATAGATAGATAGATAGATAGATAGATGAGACTGTGATAGATAGATAGATAGTGTAAATTTTGGTTGAGAAACTTTCATTTTAACGTTTCGTTAATAGATCGGCCTCATCAGAAAAAAAAAGAAGATTAATATTTCAAGCTACATTTCCGTCTCCTTTTCCCACTCGCTTCTTCTAAGAAACGATACTTCTATGTATCCACCGCCAATAAATAAATAAATAAAAAACAACACCAACAAAAAAAAAAAAAAAAAGCGAAAAAACGAAAGCTTAAGAAAATTGTCTGACGTTGATCCAGTCTCTAATGCAACGTTGGAGTCGCGACTGAGGAATTGCCGATAGACCACTAGAATCGAAAGACGACATGCAAATCAACAAAATTTGATAGAATTCAAGACATTTTTTTTTGCACCAAAAACGGTTAAAAATGTCTCCCGTGTGTCATAGGCAAAGTTGAGGTATATAGCGGGAAAATTGTTTATCCAGAAAACGTAGACTACCAATACTTGTAGCTAGTCCATAATTCTGTAATATTAAATATAAATGGGAGTGTGTGTGGGGGGGAGTCTTATATGGCGTTAAGTAAGGTAAGTTTGAACGTATGTGGTCAGGAGCCATGAATCAAATCCAAAACGCAAATCGATGATTTGATTTTGAGATTTTAGAAAAAAAAAAAAGTCATAAGACGCAAAGAAAGTTGAAATCAAAGGCAAGAAAGTCCAATTACAACATCAAACATTGTTTGAAATGAAGTTCACGCTTGAAACGAAAAAAAAGTTCGATCGATGCTTATTTCTTTTCAAAAGTATCATTTTAATAAATTCGATATTATATTGGATATTCCGAAACTGCAAAATTTATATTGAATGCGAAAAAAAAATGATAAATGCTATTATTTTCCCATTTTCTAATTTAATCTTATGACATTATATATATATATATATATATATATATATATATATATATATATATATATATATATATATACTGTATTTAGGCAGCAATCCCTCTTTTATACATGTTTCGTTAAAGACGACCGACAAGGTACTGCGATTAAGCTTTTATTTATTTATTCTTGTGTTCGTACAAAGTGTTTCCTTTTCTCGACACAAAGTGTGTAAAATGAATTAAAAATTAAGATTAAATGAAAAGCCTAACCGCAGTACCTTGTCAGTCATCCTTAACGAAACATACATTCATACATACATACATATATATATATATATATATATATATATATATATATATATATATAATATATATAACGAAAGAACGAAAAGCTATTGTGTAGCGATTTCAGCATGTTTTTGTTGTGTGTAGAATAAAATAAAATATATATATATATATATATGTATATATGCATATATATATATATATATATATATATATATATATATATATATATATATATATCCTACATCGCTTGATCTAATCTACTTCGCCCCAAAACAACTTAATCGCAGGTTGTCGCTAACTCTCACTCTCCATGTCTCTCAATCTTTCTTTCCCTCTCTGTCTTTCTCTCTGTCTCTCTTTCTCTCGCTCTTTCTTATTATCGACTTACGAGTCTCTACAAATCCTTCCACTCATTCGTCTTCTGTGGCTCCGTTTATGTGTTTCGCACACATGCGCATGCGCGCGAACAAACAAACACACATGTGTAAATATAGCTTCCGCCATATTTGAATTCTATTTTATTAAGAAAAATACGAAATAATTGAAACCAACTACTTCTTTCAATTTCTCCCGCTATCCCGATATATATATATATATATATATATATATATATATATATATATATATATATATATATATATATAAAGAAAGAACAGCAAGATATATAATCCGGTGTTCTTATAGATATTTTATTTTTACAAAATAGTGCTCAATGTAAATTTACAGAGCATTAATATTATAAATTAATTGATTTAAAATATGTTTTTTCGCTACACAGTTCTAACCATGTTTCAAAAATGGAAGCTAAAAGCCACGAATTTAATTTTGTGATTAAATTAAAGGCATTAGTTCCATTTCATCCTCAAGCGAATTCGTTTTGAAACATGGTTAGAACTGTGTAGCGAAAAAAAACATATTTTAAATCAATTAATTTATAATATATATATATGTTTATATATATGTGTGTGTGTGTGTGTGTGAGAGAGAGAGAGAGAGAGAGAGAGAGAGAGAGAGAATCTGCATGTTTAAAATTTGTTATATTTATAGAAGAAAACTGCTCAATATAGGAGATAGAACATTCATAGGTATAAACTGTGAACAATGCTGTACAGGGACTATAGGTTTTATGCCTTAATATAATCTTCAGAATAATTTTAGTCCGAATATTAAAATTTGAAAATGACAATCACTGTAGAGTGTTGATTCCTATGTTGACTCTCTATTTCTCTCTCTCTCTCTCTCTCTCTCTCTCTCTCTATCTATCTATCTATCTATCTATCTCTCTGTCGGTATTTGAGAACACATCCTTAGAAAGCTATCATTGAGCAACTTTAGCTAAAATCTTGTGTCTTTTTTTCAATCACGTCATGGAAATTTGGGAATGAAAAGGAAATCTTTTTATCGTTACTTTAGTCTCCAACTACGCAGATTCGGAGATTACCGCCTTTTTAAATAACACCAGGTGAGAAAAGATATCCAGGTTCCTAGTATGAATATGTCTTCAGTGGCAAATTAGCGGAGAAAAAAAAAAGGAAAACATTTTCAACAGAGATAACTACAATACAATGAACTCGGGGATGTCATAGACATGAGAAATAAAGAACATCTTATCAACGCATGTAATCGTTTTAGAAGCTTCATCAAGACTATATTTAAGCAGATGGCAGTTATATTGAATAGGCAATGCTCTGTGTATGTCTGTGAGAAAATACTGTAAAAATTATATTGTTTCTCTGCTAAATTATTACCGCAAATATCTGAGGCGAACTTTTAAAACAAATTGGATTTAATAAAGGAAGTATTTTGGAAAGGAAAACTCGATATGTGATTGAGAAATTGAACTGATTAAGCAAAGAAGTGAAGCAATAATTATATCCTTTAGCTTTTAATAGAATCAGCTAATAATAAAAAAAAATGAGACCATCTAATGGAGTTAACATTCAAGGCGTAACTGTTATTTTGTAGTTTTTTACTACGAAGCAGGTCAAACGCTTAGACTATTAAAAGAGGTAACAAAAGTATTATATATATATATATATATATATATATATATATATATATATATATTTTATAAATAAAATTGTACGGCAAAATGGGAAAAAGTTTATTTGTGACGTATTTCATTCATTAAGACTTCATCGGACTTTCTGTCATCAGAATGTGGGATATTTAAAAACAAAGAAGATGGAAAGAACTAGAAAAAGAATATAGATGAATTTGGCTAGACTGCAAAAAAAAAATTAAAAAAAATTTGGGACTACCAGCGTCTCTCGTTCATGCGCCCGTGTAGCCACAACAACATCAACAAACCCATTCCAATGAAATCCTTACGGGTAAAACACGTCATAAACTTTTTACATTTTGTCATACAATTTCCTCAATGCTATCCTTGATATACAAAAATATATATCGTTATCTCATATATATATATATATATATATATATATATATATATCATACTAGTGCTATATGCCCGGCACGACCAATAAAAATGGATTAAAAATCATCCATTAATTTCAAAAACATACTTTAGGCTGATCTCAATTAAATTACGTATCTATTCAAGTTTCGATAACTAAAGTAATTAAAGTTCATAAATATATCTGGGAATAATACAACGATTGTTTTGAACGGATGGCCACCGTCAATCTATTGAACATCCCATAATATCGGCTATAATGTTGAACACGCGCAATCCGTGCCAAGCACAAGAAAAAAAAATAATAACAAGTAATGTTAGAGAAATCTCGCTTTGGCTGTAGCCAATGGTGGCAAAATCAAGTCGAAATACCGTGCTCAAACAATTAGCACATATTGACTGCTGATGATTGTCTTGGAAAGAGAGAGACCAGAGAGAAAGAGAGATAGAGTAGTAGTAGTAGTAGTACGAATAGATGTTTGTAAACATAACCACGTTTATTTATATTGTAAATATCAGTGATGAAGTTATTGTTTCATTAATTAATTAATAAAGAACAGGTTTTGAATAAGAGTGAATTTGTTTTTTTTTATTGAGGAATGTTTTTTTTCGTGAATTTTGAATCATAGAAATCTACGAAAAATACGGGTTTTAAGGCATGTTATATTAATACTTAGAAAACCCTCAAACCAATGAACCTTCGTAGAATTCCGTAGTGGTACGTAAATACTTTTGTAATTTTTTTTTCATAAAGGTCCTTATCTTTTTTTGCTATCATTTCACAGCTATAAACCCAACTTTATTCATCAATATTACCTTTTATTCTATGTGAAAATTTAATTGCCGTTTTGGAGAACATTACTTCAGTTGCCGAAAATATTTCAGTCGCTTTACATTCAATTTTATTACAGACTTTATTTACGAATTCTTTTGTATCTTAGAATTTTTGGATAAAATTAAGATTTTCAATGTTCTCAGTGTTTCCACGGATAACTTCAACTGGTCAAGATATCATATGTTTCAAGATTCATATGTTTCAAGATTCATCAGATGGAATTTACATTTTGAAGTTCCTGTATTTTTACGTATAACGTCAAATGATCTGGTTTAAAATTAGATATAATGGAAATGGATATTGTGTTAGACCTGAAAAAATAAATCGTTTGGCCAGAGGAATGTAGCCGAGAAGCGAGAAATTATCAAAGTTGGGCGCCCAACTCCTTTATTGGTGAATAAGGTTAGAACTCGTTCGTTCCAATCCAAATGGTTTAATGACATTGACTGGTTATGTGCGAGTAAATCTGTGAAATAATGCAGCAAAAAAAGTTACATACAGAATCTTTATGAAAAAATTACAAAAAGTATTTACGTAAACGAAGGTTCCGAGGTTTCAGGGTTTTTCTTAATATTAATATAAAATGACATACAAACCGTATTTTTCGTAGATTTCTATGATTCAAAATTCACGAATAAACCATTCCTTAA